CAAAGAAACTAATGAATATGCTGAACAAGTTGTTCAGGTGGAAATCCTGGTGGTGTTGAGACCAGTGAGTTTGTCATTGATTTCAGTGGAACCAGGATTTCACCCTTAGTTTGTGTGTTGCTGTATGTCTTTAGCAGACAAGGTTCTTTGGGTAAATCTGATATCTTTCATTAGACCAACTTGGATAGTTGGAAACATTCTTTTTAGCAAGCTTTCATGTATAAATACCCTTTGTCAGGCTGAGTAAACATCTGCACTTGGTTTTTGCTCTTCCTGGATGGAAGGAATAGTAAAGAAGCCAGAGGCTGGGGTGGAGGGCAGAGGCTGGTATGCATGCAAGAAAGGCAGTGAGTGAAGACTTCTTGCATGCATACAAAAGTCGTGTGGATTCAAGAAAATATTAGCCATTCACTTTCTCTAAGATACTGTAAGTTTTCAAAAAGGTTACTTGAGTACAGATATCCTCACCAATCATATACTCAAATAATAGTTGTTAAAAGGAAATCAGTTACACACTGTTATAATAATGCAACCCAAGAAAATAAAATGTCAGTAGGAAGCCTCTGTAATGAAGTAACTCATTTCTAACAAGATTTCCCCAGTATACATCTCAATTTTGTTCCACACCACCATAAAATTATATTTGTCTGTGAAAACAACTATCCAGAAAGTTTGGCTTTTGGTGTTTGTTTATGACCTAACAGGAAACTGAAAGCATTCTTTCTTTCAGAAAGTGATTTTTTGGGTATTTTTTTTCATGGGAATACCTGATACTTCTAATCTGTAACTGTAAAATACATCTTAAGAAAATGTCTGCTCTCCAAAGATATACTTTTGCCTATATAGACAGTCTACCTGAATTTTTGCTCTGTGTCACTGGAACACCTCACATTATTTTCGCTCCTTAAAAAGGGCATCTTTTGTTTGCACCTAACATGCACAATGTTCTGTATACCAACAGATTCCAAAACCAGTCTTGCAACATCTCCTTTCCTGCACCTGATTCATGGATGTTAGCTTTCCTTTTGTACCTTAGTCCTTAATTTATTGAGCTCCTCCTCTAAACTTTTAATATGTTCTTTGAGTGCGGCTTTGTCCTGCTGCGCTTTCTGATTAGCTTGGCACCGAGCTTCTTCAATCTTGCGTTCATACCACTTTTCCATTTGAGTGGAAACAGCCTCAAAAAAGTACTGAGTAATCTCTAGCGCTTGGGAAGTGTCTCTGATCTGAGGAGTGGAATGATCACCTGAAGGCAGAGCAGGTGGCTGCTGCTGTTGGGTCGGATGTGTTACTGACTGCTGCTGAGGCCTGTGTCTTGACTGCCCACTCTTGCTAGATTTCTTTGTCTGAGTTCCTTTGTTTATGAAGCAGCCACTCTGTTGCTCAGTCTTTGCAAGTTCTGTCAAGGGCTGCAAAGCAGTTTGTACCTTAACATGTCTTAATTTGGAACCTAAAAGCTCTGACGATGGCAGCTCCTGCTGGAACCGGTTGATAGCAGCAGAGCTAACAGCTTTGTCCTTAGGCCTAACAGCTTGAGGAGCAACTGCAGAAGGAGCTGGACCAGTGGCTACCAATTGTTGTTCTCCACCTGTAAGAAAAACACAGTTCTGGGCAGATTTTTTTTTTATGGGGAATCATGAAGGAGAAACAGCATGTGTTCTGAAGGCTGTAAAGGACAAGTTCTCTCTCACACAATGCTGTACAGTTTGGAGAATCTTATACCATATCCCACCTTTGTACAAGTAACTTCACAATCTTGTCAAAATGAACACATTTACTCACACCCGTCTCCTCAGCATTTCTAACTAGCTGATGCCACCAGGTCCCTACTTAATATTATGGCTCCTCTTAATCTCATTCTTGGGCACCTAAACCTCCCCACCTCCACTATACAAGGCATGTGGGTGTGTGGCACAGAGCTGCAAATGTACATTCATGGCTAGATGGCACAGTGCTTATTCTTTTGTGAATCCAAGACAGCTCCTGCAGAAATGCAACAATTAGAACACCATGTATCCCTATGGTGATCATGGGGTACAGTCCCCATAAAATGGTAGGTTTTACCTAAGAAATAGGGGTCCATACATCAGTAACAGCTGGGTATAACATGCTTAATTCAATGCAAGCAGTTTGGTGCAAACTTATGCCAGCCCCTGGGTTGGAAGAGATCCAGCCCCTTGCTATCCCCTAAACTGGTAGAAACTGGTTTGCATCCTCAGAAGATCTGGCTTCAAAAATGAAATAAGCTGGAAGTCTCAAGGAAAGATGAGACAGTGAACTTCTGTCAGTTGAGCCCTGCAGTGTTGGTAGCTGCCCTGAAGGAGGCAGGGGTGTGTCTACACATGCATTTAGATACACCTACATTTAATACATATCAGCTTAATGCACATTAAGGTGATTTAGGCTCGCATCTACACATGCATGTGTTAAAGAACATTAACGCCGTGAGCACAGACTGACATGGGACTAAAGCTACTCCCAAGTCAGTCCATACACAGTGTTAATGTGACTTAACACGTCTACACATACGTTAATGCACTTTAGCTATTCATGCCTAAATTTAATACCTGCTTTTCCAGGTATCAAATTTAAGCATGAATAGCCTAAAATCACCATTTTTAAAGCACATCAAGGGCGTGCATGTATAGACGGGTACCCTTAATGCGCTTTAAATTGAGCTAAAGCACCTTAAATCAGCATGTGTACATGCGCCCAGTATGTTCTAACTGGAAGTCACTCTATGGAGGTAGGGAAGGGATGTATGGGTGACTGAAAGCATATGGCTTGTGTTAATATACTCAGCACTGTAAAACATCCCACAGTTAATCAGCACTTGGGTTCTGAATACTACACCAAAATACCAAAGAGGATTGTACCTGACATGCTGTCTTGTGGAACAAAATAATGCTTTCCAAAACTTTGTTCTGAAGTTTGGCCTTTACTCCTGCCCATGTCTTCTGAGAGACTGTTCTGAAGAGTGATATAGGAATGTTGCTGTGAACCCTCTGACTGCAGTGGCGTCTGGTTAGTTTTACCATCCTTGGCACTATGGGGATTCTCTGTATCCAGGGTCTCAGTGAGGGACTCACAAGTTGACAGAGTTGATTTTGGTCTTGAAGATCTAGAATCTCCAGAAAGTTTGAGCTCCAGATTCTGAATCTTTAGCATGCACCAGGTTTTCAATTCATCCACCAAAGAAATCTGAAAAATATGAATTGGACAATGAAATGAACCCATTTTTAATTTAACTTTCCACATTTTAAATCCATACATGTTATCTCAGATGCAGCCTTTTGTCCATGCATGATAGGGCTGAGTATGTATAACTGTACAATCGCTGGTAGTTTTCTTGTGCTATAAATAAATTTAGTAACATTACATTGTGACATACAGTCAGAGCTGCCATGTTTTAAAGCGGGAAGTCAAATCAACTGCTTCAACAGTACGTAGGCACATTTTAATACCAGTGCCGATCTGTGCTCCTCGTTGTTAATTTTGTGCTATAAGATCAGAGATCAGCGCTAAATTCTAATCAACAAAGAGCTTTCAAGGTACAAAAATTCTTAACCGAATACCCATATTCTCAACATTAGAAGGCTGTCTGCCAGCAGACGTTTTAAAATGCATTAGGAACTCAATTACAAAGAGAGAATATTCCTCCATTTACTCTTATTTTCCTGTTATTTATGTGTCATTGTAAGTTTGGGCCATGCAAATAAAAGGCTTCTGCCTAAGGGCTTCATAAAAGGGCTAATCCAGTCTTTTCAGTGATTTTGGATAAGGCCCTAAGAATGTTAATCCTGATTGCTTGTCACATACCATTGGCAATCTCTTTC